TCCGGTGAAATCTGTAAGGTACTATGAGACAGGGTTGATGTTTTCATGATTTCCTGTATAATACATTTACTACTTTCATTGTAGGTTAGTTGTACGTAATGGAAAGCCTCTTAAAACACGTTCTGCTGGACCTCAAATGACCAGCCGCCTTGACAATGGCGTGAAGTAATTAGCATCAACTCGAACATACCAAAGGCTCGGCTAACATTTATTCTCCTTGTTTTTAGGGCTTGTTGGTGGCTCTCATATTCTGTTTCCTCAACACTGAGGTAAGGCAATGGGTTCAGTAAAACTGCTTGACTATAAAACGTTTTTATAAGAACCTTAGAATACTGCTTTCTCAGTCAGGTGAACGTCATGATGTGCTGTGTCCACCAGGTTCATGGTCAAGTCGGCGGGGCCTGGAAGCGGTGGCATAAGCAGTCCCGGAAAAACTCACACAGGAACACGGTCACCCTAACGTCAGCTTCCTTGTCGTCACAAAGAACATCGCTTCCAGAACTGGAGGGTTTGGCGGTTGTCATGAAGAACCAGAACGGTCAGGTGAAGAACAATGCTTTGACGTCAGATTCGACGGTGTCTGGCCAGGCTTCAACACAATCAGCTCACGTCTAAGTTCAGGACGCGAGCTAGTGCAATGTGTTATGCTACATGCAGTGAAGGCAGTTCCATCTGTGTTCCTGCTGACAATGTTGCTGTACTGATCTGTGTGTGACTCGACTGAAGGTGGTGTTGGGAAAGTTCATACATTCCAGGGAACAATCACTTTGTCCTGATACTGAATGCAACTATGCTTTGTTATCTGCAAATATGAAGTACCCGTGTCATGCATGAATACATAGTTGATCTAATACAGCTGTTTCAAAAGTGATTACTGTTGGCATTTTTCCTCAACAGTTGCTGCATATTTGTGTCATCCTTTCATCTAGACATTAGTAGAGATAGAAGCATAGACCATCTTACGTGGAAGTGGAAGTGGAAGTGGAAGTGTATTTGCTTTTGAAATTGAACATGTGTATACTGTGTTTGCTATCCTTTACTCCTATTCAACAAATGGGATACATTCAGTTCCCGTCAAATATATGTTACGTCAATAGGAGGAATTATCATGTTCAACCTTCTTCCACATGCTTGTTATGAGCTGACCAACGGTTGCAGACTGTATCCTGGCTTGCTGGACTGGTGAATTAAACCTCATTCACTCATTAGATACAAAATTTATCTAAAAATCCTTTAAACATAAACATTAAGAAATATGGCTTTCCACCCCTGAATGGCATTTTGATCTTGACCATTAGTATTGTTGGAAACACGTTCAGAAAGTTTGAGTTCCATGAAAGGACAAATTGGTTGCAGAAAATGATGCCCTGCACAAACCTTCAAAGGCCTTGTGGAGGAACAGGCAGCCAACGGCAAATGCATCTTCTCCTCCAATCTATAATGAACTGATGAACTGTGGAGGCAATAGGCAATGCATCTTCTCCTCCAGGCTATAACGAACTGATGAACTGTGGAAGCAATATGCATCCGAACAGCTTCTCCTCCAGGCTATAATGAACTGTGGAAGCAATATGCATCCAAACAGCTTCTCCCCCAGGCCATAACGAACTGATGAACTGTGGAGGCAATATGCATCCGAACAGCTTCTCCTCCAGGCTATAATGAACTGTGGAAGCAATATGCATCCGAACAGCTTCTCCCCAGGCTATAACAACTGATGAACTGTGGAAGCAATATGCATCCGAACAGCTTCTCCTCCAGGCTATAATGAACTGTGGAAGCAATATGCATCCGAACAGCTTCTCCCCAGGCTATAACGAACTGATGAACTGTGGAAGCAATATGCATCCGAACAGCTTCTCCTCCAGGCTATAATGAACTGTGGAAGCAATATGCATCCAAACAGCTTCTCCCCAGGCCATAACGAACTGATGAACTGTGGAGGCAATATGCATCCGAACAGCTTCTCCTCCAGGCTATAATGAACTGTGGAAGCAATATGCATCCGAACAGCTTCTCCCCAGGCTATAACGAACTGATGAACTGTGGAAGCAATATGCATCCGAACAGCTTCTCCTCTAGGCTATAATGAACTGATGAACTGTGGAAGCAATATGCATCCGAACAGCTTCTCCTCAAGGCTATAATGAACTGATGAACTGTGGAGGCAATATGCATCCGAACAGGTTCTCCTCAAGGCTATAATGAACTGATGAACTGTGGAAGCAATATGCATCCGAACAGCTTCTCCTCTATGCTATAATGAACTGATGAACTGTGGAAGCAATATGCATCCGAACAGCTTCTCCTCAAGGCTATAATGAACTGATGAACTGTGGAGGCAATATGCATCCGAACAGGTTCTCCTCAAGGCTATAATGAACTGATGAACTGTGGAGGCAATATGCATCCGAACAGCTTCTCCTCCAGGCTATAATGAACTGATGAACTGTGGAGGCTGGCAGCTGATTGATGCTACACTAGTAGATAAGTAACCATCTATCAAAGGCGAGGAAGTTAACTGACCATGAAAGTCCAGTTTCACCATATCTCAAATAGGCTGGTTCTCAAATTATGCATCGTTCAATCAAAATCACATAATGACATCTAGTTCGTAAACTGCTGAGCCTATTTCGGTTGATTGCAAGATGTAATGCACATTTGAGTTGTTTTCCCAAATCCTTTGATGTCATTAATCAAGGTGCTCAAATGATTTGATGCACTTTGCATGGTAATACCTGTTTTAAACTGACAGCCAAAATAAACTTTAAGACTATTTTAAATCAATCCAGCTTAAAAACCACAAAAGATAGATGCATGAAATAAAATGTACTGAAAAGATCTTAATGAAATCAGTATTTATAATGACAACTAGTACTGGAATGACAGGGGGGAATGAAAAACAAGCTTTCAACACAACATGGACAATGGGTCGTACTCATATCTAAAATCACTCACGCTCAATGACAGGTAACACTAATGCTTCAATATACACAAAAATCTCCTGCACACAGAAAATGTCAGTCATCTGATGATACGACGAGAGATACCTCGCCTTCTTCTTGGAGAGCCTGGACCAATGACATCTCACAGGTGTTCTATGGGTGACATGTTTTGGATGTGAGCAAGCCATGGCAGCACATAAACTTTGTTGGCTGCAAGGAAGTTCTGTATACAGACTGTATTGGGTCTGGAGTTGTCATGCTGGTAAATGACGCCGTGTCTAAGCTGTATACAGAAATGGTGGGACAATTGGACGAAGAATATCAGAAGAAGAAGAAGATCCCTTAATGATCACCAGAGGTAGTCTACCAGCCCATAAATTCCTCCCCTTGCCCACTTTAGCAGAAAACATGTCGTATTCATTTAAGTGTGAACGGGCAAACCTGACTTTCATCGGTGAAGATGGCAATCTGCCAGACACATCGCAGCCACCTGTCCTCTGTAATGTCTGTAAGGCCGAATTTCTTGAGCCCTGAGTAGCCTGGCTACTCTCATTTGTCTCTGATAACGTCATAAAGTCAGGAATAGGTTCTGGACATACAAAGTACACAATTACTGGTCTTCATTGGAACTAGTTACCCCCAACCAAGAGTTGTATCAAATTGGTGATGGGTGAAGTGACTAAACGACCAAGCAATTGATCAAATAATTTTTGCATTAACAATATTTTTCACAAGGTTGGTTTTATCAGTTACACCTGATATTCTCTCTCCCCTGCTTGAGAGATGGTCACATAAGGGCAAGATGTGTTTGGTGTTTAGAACGCCAACGCTGGGATTATCGATGTTGGAAGAATGTAAAGTTCTCTGATGAGTCCAGATTCGTGTTAGACTTCGTTGATAGACGTAAAAGGGTTTGGCGTAGACACAACGTACGTTTCCATGATGTCAACGTCATTAGGTATGATCATTTTGGAGGGGGGTCTGTAATGGTGTGGGGTGCCATCGCTGTGGCTGGAAGAACGAACTTACATGTTGCTGGACGTGTCACAGGTCAGTACTACCGGGACAACATCCTGGCAGCCCACGTTGTGCCATTTCCTCAAAGCCCTGGCCACCGTTTCATCTTCCAAGATGACAACGTCAGATGTCACAGGGCTAGGATTGTCACTGAAAACCTCCAACAGCAGAATATCACCAGATTACCATGGCCAACCTTAAGTCCAGACCTTTCGTCCATCAAGCATGTCTGGGACATCCTTGGACAGCGCTTATGGTGACATCAATAACATCCCACTACTCTCCAAGACCTTGCTGCTGCATTGCAAGAAGAGTGGAATAATCTCAATCAAAATGACTTGTGACGCATCATAAAGAGTATGCCACGTCGGATCCATGCCTGTTTGACCCACAGAGGGGGATTTACCCAGTATTGACTTGGTTATTGCCGTATGGTAAATTTGCAGATTGACCCTTGGTGTAGTTTGACCCATACCACAGAGTGTCCTTGTTTCTTTGGCATTATCAAATGTATGGAATACAATTGCATATGGTCCCTTAACAGTTCTTCTTTATTTGTTCCGTTCTCATATTCACACGTAACCTCTCATCAGCCATCAAAGTCCGATATCCCCTACTCTTTTTTGATAGTATATTACATTATGGTTTCATGTCTAGTTTCTGCAGTCCAAACAGGTTTTTTTTTACTTTTTCACATTTTCAATGAATAAGTGCCAATGATCTGTTTCACTTTTGACACTGATGTGCTTGGATGATGTGTTATATTTTTTCTATTTTATTTTTATGTGGTCAAGTTTCTTTTGACATCAGTTCTTTACAATATAGATCTTGATTATCAATGGATCATCATGACTGGGTGCCACCATCTTCTTTGAAGCAAAAGCGAGCAATATGACTAAATTCCTGTCCAGTTCAGCAAGATGAAAAGTGGACTTTCAAAGACAGTTATCTCCCTTGCCTTGCTAAGATAATCAGTCACAGGAAAACTTGTCTTTGTCAAATAATTCATATTTTGTGCCAGAAACAACAGAAGGTCACTTCAGGACATAAACAACACATGCTTTATTCATTACATATCACTCATTCTAACAAGATCCCCTTATACTGCAATTATAATCTGAATCAACAGCACACACAATTATCTCATTTCAAGACTCATTTCCCTGAAACAAAACCTGAAATACCAGATAGATATTTAGATATTTATGTAACCATGACAAGTGTGTGCCACGTCCCAGGCTGTAGGTGTTCTCTGTGAGAGCATGTATCTTACATCAAGTACATCAAGTGACCTCAAGTGTACGCTGACATCATATCACAAGGGTCTCTTGGTCACTCAGTTCATTTACGTGTAAGACACCAAGGTTCTTTAATAATATGTAAATATATATGATCTGACTACATACATACCACAACCTTCCAGTCACTGTCAGTTATGTTTTACAACTTAACATTTTCAATCACCAATATCTTTGACATAACCACCACACCACAGTCATTGAAGGAAAATTCAAACACATCTGCCCAATAGCCATAGCTCCAGAACATGAGTAACTTACGTCTTGTTAACTCGATATGAACTACACTTGTATCATTTTTCAATATCACGAAATCAGTTACAGACACATGCATGCTATACTTTTCCTAATGCAGTGAATACACAGAGTAACCATGACAACTCAAGAAATCCTGTCCTACTTGGTGGCCTGGATGTGTGGGAGCTTGTGTGTGCCATCACAGAAAGGTTTATTGTTGGTCTGTTTACAGTTACATAGCCAGTACTCCTTTGTCTCCTCCACACTAAACCGAACTGGACCCCATTTGGGCATGTTCTTAGTTTCTGATGTCCCCCATAGTGTCTTGTGGGTACCATCACACAGCGGCTGTAACAGAACATGACACCGTAACACAAATAGGCTGTAACAGAAGCACAGAACCACAACACACAGGGCGATAACAGTTCATAACACAGAGGCTATAACAGACAAAACACCACAACACACAGAGGCTATAACAGTTTTACAACACACAGAGGCTATAATAGACACAACACCACAACACACAGAGGCTATAACAGTTCACAACACACAGAGGCTATAATAGACACAACACCACAACACACAGAGGCTATAACAGTTCACAACACACAGAGGCTATAATAGACACAACACCACAACACACAGGGGCTATAACAGTTCACAACACACAGAGGCTATAACAGTTCACAACACACAGAGGCTATAACAGTTCACAACACACAGAGGCTATAATAGACACAACACCACAACACACAGAGGCTATAACAGTTCACAACACACAGAGGCTATAACAGTTCACAACACACAGAGGCTATAACAGACACAACACAGAGGCTATAACAGTTCACAACACACAGAGGCTATAACAGTTCACAACACACAGAGGCTATAACAGACACAACACAGGGCTATAACAGTTCACAACACACAGGCTACAACACACAGAGGGCTATAACAGACACAACACCACAACACACAGAGGCTATAACATTTCACAACACTACAACACACAGAGGCTATAACAGTTCACAACACACAGAGGCTATAACATTTCACAACACACAGAGGCTATAACAGACACAACACTACAACACAGAGGCCATAACAGTTCACAACACACAGAGGCTATAACAGACACAACACTACAACACACAGAGGCTATAACAGTTCACAACACACAGAGGCTATAACAGACACAACACTACAACACAGAGGCTATATCATTTCACAACACACAGAGGCTATAACAGACACAACACTACAACACACAGAGGCTATAACAGTTCACAACACACAGAGGCTATAACATTTCACAACACACAGAGGCTATAACATTTCACAACACACAGAGGCTATAACAGTTCACAACACACAGAGGCTATAACAGACACAACACCACAACACACAGAGGCTATAACAGTTCACAACACACAGAGGCTATAACATTTCACAACACAGAGGCAATAACACAACAGACACAACACTACAACACACAGAGGCTATAACAGACACAACACTCCAACACACAGAGGCTATAACAGTTCACAACATACAGAGGCAATAACACAACAGACACAACTCTACAACACACAAACAATATGATAACACAGAGGTTGGAACACAAACAATACGATAACACAGAGGTTGGAACACAAACAACACAATAACACAGAGGTTGGAACAGAAACAACACGATAACACAGAGGTTGGAACACAAACAACACGATAACACAGAGGTTGGAACACAAACAACACGATAACACAAGAGATTGGAACAGAAACAACACGATAACACAGAGATTGGAACAGAAACAACACGATAACAGAGGTTGGAATAGAAACAACACGATAACACAGAGATTGGAACAGAAACAACACGATAACACAGAGATTGGAACAGAAACAACACGATAACACAGAGGTTGGAACACAAACAACATGATAACACAGAGGTTGGAATAGAAACAACACGATAACACAGAGGTTGGAACAGAAACAGCACGATAACACAGAGATTGGAACAGAAACAACACGATAACAGAGGTTGGAACAGAAACAACACGATAACACAGAGATTGGAACAGAAACAACACGATAACACAGAGATTGGAACAGAAACAACACGATAACAGAGAGGTTGGAACAGAAACAACATGATAACACAGAAGTTGGAATAGAAACAACACGATAACACAGAGGTTGGAACAGAAACAAAACGATAACACAGAGGTTGGAACAGAAACAGCACGATAACACAGAGATTGGAACAGAAACAACACGAAAACAGAGAGGTTGGAACAGAAACAACACGATAACACAGAGATTGGAACAGAAACAACACGATAACACAGAGGTTGGAACACAAACAACACGATAACACAGAGGTTGGAACAGAAACAACACGATAACACAAGAGATTTGAACAGAAACAACATGATCACACAGAGATTGGAACAGAAACAACATGATAACACAGAGGTTGGACCAGAAACAACATGATAACAGAGAGGTTGGAACACACAGAGGCTATAACAGTTCACAACATACAGAGGCAATAACACAACAGACACAACTCTACAACACACAAACAATACGATAACACAGAGGTTGGAACACAAACAATACGATAACACAGAGGTTGGAACACAAACAACACAATAACACAGAGGTTGGAACAGAAACAACACGATAACACAGATGTTGGACCAGAAACAACATGATAACAGAGAGGTTTTAACAGAAATAACACAGTAACCGAGGGAAGGCAACAGAAACAATATTATAACACAAAATGTCACTTTGCATAAGGTGTAAACTCAGCATGCTCAATACTGCCTATATAGCAGTGACCTTCATGACAGCACGAACCCACAGTGAAACTTAGTTGAATATAGGATCCCTGCAACTTACTTGCTGTAAGAGGTGACTCAGTGGGTGGGTTTGGCAGGTTGGTCATTTGTATCGCATCAGATGATGCTCATAATATTAATCCCTGGATTGTCTGGTCAAGGGTTGATTATATCACCATCATATAGCTGGAATATTGCTGCGTGTGGTGTTGGACAAAGTTGACATGGAAAATCAATTCTGAATGATTCATTGTGTTCTTGATCTTGAATTGACATAACAAAACAAAACAACCAAGCTGACTTCACACATGAAGTGTCCAAAGAGAGAATGTTCCTTCGATCCTTCTATATCATCAGAGTGCTAGCTAAACTATATATAGCTGTACACTTACTTGTGTGTGACTATGCCCACAAGCACACCAAGCGTATTTCTTCCCAGCCTTCAGCTCTATACGAAATGGCTTCTTGTCATATATCTTTCCCTTTGGTTGGTCAGTCGAGAATTCATTTACAAATTTGGGCGTTTCTCTGTGCTGTCTGAACTTGTTTTTCTTCTTCTTTTTCAGTCACAAAGTCATCAACATTCAATGTCCGTGTTTGCTGAAACATTTAAAAATACATCTAAACATGACATTTTCAAAAGTTGCTTATATACAACCCACCCATAACTGTACAGTAGGTCACTGGTAATATGCTGACTCAGCATATACAGCTTGCAGATTGTCTACAGGCAACCTTTCCCTCATGTACAGACCTGGGCTTAGATTTTCGAAGCTCTCTTAGCACTAAGATAGTCATAAGTTAATGTTAATGTATGGCACTTACGACTATCTTAGCTCTAAGAGAGCTTCGAAAATCTAGGCCCTGTGCCCCATTCCTCAAAGCGATCGTAGCACTACGACAGCCGTAAGTCTATGTTAAAGTATGAGAGTTACGATCACCTTAGCGCTACGACAGTTTTGAGGAACGGGGCCCTGCCCAATGCCACAGTTTGGAGACAAACATACTTTATTTTCAATTTAGAGCTAGGTTACATGTAGATTTGATTGTGATAAAATGAAGTAAAAATGTTGTATTAAGCACAATTCAATGTACATGTCACCTATTTTTAGACTTAAATGCAGGGATAGGAATGGGTATGAGTTAAAAGAGGAACATGAGCTGGGGGTCTTGGGGGCTGCAGGTACCCATGCCCGATCCAATGACCCCAGCGCAATCAAATCTGCGGATCTGCAGAAAATTCTCATCCCTGTAAATGATGTATGTTCCTCTCCATTCTATCATGTCAGAACTGGAGTGAGTTTAGCAATATTAGACTATATGTTGGTGGTCTGTGAATAATCAAGTGTGGACCACACAATCCAGTGATCAACAGCATGAGCATTGATCTACATAATTGGGATATGATGACATGTGTCAACCAAGTCAGCGAGTCTGACCACCCGATCATGCTAGTCACCTCTTATGACAATCAAGGGTTACTGAAGATCAATTCTAACCCAGATCTTCACAGGTTGCCAAAACTAGAACTATCCTGTGATAGAAGAAAATCAACAACACATTTTAACACAACCTATGGCCATGATGAAGTGATGCAGGTGTGAATAATTGACTGAAAGTCAAATTATCAAAGACAAGCATTTTCTATCAAATACTGGGAATCAACTCTAATTTCAAAACACATAGCATATTGCTTATGGTAGAAGAGATTGAGAATAGCGTTACAACATCTTTTTTTTAACTACTATGCTGTCAGTATCTTGCAACTTTTTTCATAGTCAAATGGCACCGTTATTACATCAACGTAAGAAATTAAAGGATTTCTAAGAAGGTTCTGGGAGTACTGCATTTTACCTGGCACACTTTTTCTCATTAATGAGCGATGCAGGGGCCAGAACGCGCTTTGCAGGATTACTGACTTCATTAATTAGTGATGTAATTTAGTATAGCAGTGAGTCGCAAGTGCAAGAAATGAAAACAAACCACTGTGCAAGCGTCTCACTATGCCACGCCCTTCCCATTCCTTTTTCCGCCCAAAATCCATTCTTTCTGGGACTGTACTGATGAGTCCCAGATAGGGCGAAGTGTGTTTCAATTGGATAAAATTGTATGGCACTGCTTGAAGGTAAGGTGGTGAAAGGGAACCAAAGCCTAACTCTTAGCCTGAATGATCGGAAAGGGTACCAGACCCTAACCCTAAAACTTAACCCTAAGGATGTGAAAGGGTCGTTTGCCTCTAAAGAAGTGCCACTGGAGATCAGTGGAGCGTGAGGAAAGCAGTGATATGGGCAGGCATCGCTGGCTGGAGCTGCGCCTAGTAAACTGCATTCTAGCCAAGATTACAACTCACAGTCTATATTCACTGTTAATGGATGCTTAGGTATGTATGACATCCATTCACGATTCTTTGAAACAGTAACACATCATTATCCAGTTTTTAATATCACACTAGCACACACCTCTCAAAAGCATTTGGTGATTACATAAGATAATGAAGTAGATGAAGTGATACAGTGCTGAAATCTGCTTTTATAAGGGCTACTAATTCCTTTTGATGGCATTCCAAACACAAATAATGACACAGAAGTAAAACATTTTTAATTTGAACCTATTTCTGGCAGCAAGAATGACAGAACATTGACAAGGAGTTCACAGCAGTTCACAAGAAACAGTGACAATGATCCTGACAATATTTGTATTAGGTATAATACAAACTGGTACGCAAGTCATATGTAAGTTCATGTTTGATTGGAATTATGAATGTCATTTGTAGCCTTCTTAAAAATCTTTCAGGGAAATAATCCATGTTTATCTTTTTGCTATACAAAAACACACTAACCTATGGAAATATTGTTTTTAAAGATGAACATTTTCAATGTGGGTAAACATAGTGAAGTACTTTTTACATTTTACAAGTTAAAGAATATATTGTTAATCATCTATAATTGTTGTTTACAAATAGTATATTGTAAGCAGAAGCCTTGTGACGTCATTGCTTGTTTGTGACATGACGTCATCTGTTGACCAAATGCACCATGGTCCTTCTTGTGCCAGCACTTGATTAAACTCATTGTGTTTGACTCCATGCTCATGTCATCAATAGATAACTATAATCATGATAATTAAATGACAGTGAAGACACAACAAAATATTTGCATGTTAGACTAGATGGCGAGGGACGTTGCAATATTTTTCTGTAGTGATGGAGCATAGATTTGGCGTAGAAGGTTATATGAGTGTGCATGTTGCAGTAGAAAAGTTTGAAAGTTAGATCTAGATAAAATTTTCATAATGATATATAGAATAATATTTCAAGATATATTTTCTAAAAAGTGACATACCGGGCTAAGGAAAGAGTAGAGAGTAGTCTACCCTAACGCTAACAAACAACTTATGGCTCAACATAATGAAATCAACTCCGATACAAACATTGTGTGAACTGGGAGTACCCTAAGGATCGTAAAGGGTGCCTAACCCTAAACCCTAACCCTAAGGATCGTAAAGGAAGCAGCGAGGGCTGCGCCCGGTAAAGTGCATTCTAGCCCAATTACCGACAATACTCCGACAAACAAACGATTCTTTAGTAGTGAAGTGACTGGAGCACATCGGTTAATGTAGAGCGCCATGTTGTAGTGCTGCACTGAATAAGGGTGCTATATTAAAAATGTTTGTAAAACACCGAAGAATTACTACTTGTTGAATGCAGTTGCAATATTCCATAATCACATTAATAAAAATAAATAAAATCTGTTCTATCCGAACTTATTTATTGACTATACAAGCCTATCGAATTTGCTGAAACTCGTATCTTCGGTCCTATCCTTGTTGCTAACCGCTCATAGCAACGTTGTTCAATACTCGTAAAAACTCACAAGAGTGAGTGTCCATCGTTCATTTGTGCAAGGCGGAGTAAACAAGCAGAATGAGTCAACGACAAGTGTTACAAGGTATTGTATCTGGAATGATTTTCACCAAAGCACTCAGACGTTTTCATTTCATATAGTTCTAACCCTTCCGCGTAAGAACTGAATCGTGCAAATGCTTCTTCACTTCATTTTATGTAGCCTTATGATTACTTTTCCACTGAATTTGTTTACCCTATATTTCCCCACTTCACTAACCTGAACGCTACAACATGATCGTGAAGTATTAAGTAACCTAACTTGTTTAATAACTTGGTTGAATAACATTAACTAATAAATAAATTCCATAAAAATAACTCTTGGGACTTCAACTTCACTTCCAAGTTGGGCGATGGGGTAGTCTAGTGGTTAAAGCGTTGGCTCGTCACGCCGAAGGCCCGGGTTCGATTCCCCACATGGGCACAATGTGTTAAGCCCATTTCTGGTGTCCCCCGCCGTGACATTGCTGGAATATTGTTAAAAGTGGCGTAAAACTAAACTCAGTCAGTCAGTCACTTCCAAGTCCAGGACAAGTTTCTTGTATATTTAGGTTCCAGGTTATCAAACAACAGAGTATTTTGCACAGTGTTTTAGTCAGCACACTTTGTGCCTTGAGCCTTTGACAAGGAGACACCCTGGCCCTATAACTTTTCTGTGTCCCTTACACCAGTGTCTGAGTCAGAAATAAGCCAGGAGGTTTAATCATTCAGTAGTATCTTCAACGATCTTCATACAAATAGCAACTCAACTGAAGCAAGTGTTGACATGAGATCTCATTGTAAGCTGCATTAAGCCATATCTTGTGGTTACTTTTTCCTACTTTGCTCCCCATCAGCAGACTCAAGTAGTCTTATCTGACTCATTGAATTGTAGCAGTCTCCACTTGTTGTTAGCACCTTTCTTGTAACATTAAGTCCAGTAATCACAGGTAACATTGTCAACAATAACTAAAAAATCAACAAATTATGAAGCAAAGAGCCAAATGGCCAAGTTTGGTGTCATATGTCCGAAAAGGTTTTGGTACAGCCTACTGCAGACGTGTTAGCAACACATAGTTAAATACAAGCTTTTGTAACGTTTTCTGACTTATTTTGTTTTAGTGTTTGAACAGTACCAGAAGAGTCGGACACAGTTTGTTCAGACTGTTGCCGAGCTTGCCTCAAGGCCACAAAACATCGAGACACTCCAGAATGCAGGAGTCATGTCACTTCTCCGTCCTCTCCTTCTGGACATAGTGCCCACTATTCAGCAGACAGCTGCTCTAGCTCTGGGACGTCTGGCTAACTATAACGATGACCTGGCTGAAGCTGTAGTGAAGGGAGATATCTTGCCTCAACTTGTCTACTCGCTGGCTGAGCAAAATGTGAGGATGTCATTTCTATTGTTGTTCGCTGATAATCTGTCAGAATGTTTTGTTCATTCTTAGGAGAATGAATATAAACTCACTGGTGTTTATCAGTATGTAAGCATATGGGGAGGACAATATCTTCTACATCAGTATATACGTGTCACCAAAACAGAAATGATTTATCGGAGGATAATGTAATGTGAACTGTGTTGGATTTGCCATTCAAACATTTGTTTATTTTTCACTTGTATCTTGTAACTGTCCGTGTATTACGATGATTTTAACATTATTAATTTTCATCATTTCAGCGTTTCTACAAGAAGGCTGCAGCTTTTGTTCTTCGCGCTGTTGCCAAACACTCGCCTCAACTGGCCCAGTCTGTGGTAGACTGCGGAGCTCTTGATGCTCTGGTCATCTGTCTGGAGGAGTTTGACCCTGGCGTTAAGGAATCGGCAGCTTGGGCTCTTGGCTACATTGCCAGACACAATGCAGGTGAATGTTTGTATGAAAAATTGTGTGAATGATGAAATTTGTGTTTGTGGTGTTTTGACTGACATTCTTGCTGTGTTTTATGAACCCTGGCTTTTGTAGTGAAATGAGACCTTTAGTGTGCTGATAACAACTTGAGATACAAGTTTTGGTAACTTACACTCATATCATTGTGGGGGCGGTGGGGTAGCCTAGTGGTTAAAGCATTTGCTCGTTATGCCGAAGACCTGGGTTCGATTCCCCACATGGATACAATGTGTGAAGTTCATTTATGGTGTCCCCCGCTGTGATATTCCTGGAATATTGCTAAAAGCGGTGTAAAACTAAACTCACTCACTCATATCATTGTGACCTCATATGTAGTATCTGTTTTTCCTTGGTCTATTTTCTTGTTTATTTAATGTTTGTGTTTGAGAGGATGAATTTTAGGAAGTTTTCCTTCAAGCAAAAATTGTAACAGATAGATGTCATCTGTTTTTCATTGTAGAGCTCGCCCAGGCTGTTGTTGATGCTGGTGCAGTGCCACTGTTGGTGTTGTGCATCCAGGAACCAGAGCTGTCACTGAAGAGAATCGCTGCCTCTGCCCTCAGTGATATCTGCAAACACTCACCAGAACTGGCCCAGACCGTGGTTGATGCAGGTGCTATTGCTCATCTTGCACAGATGATCCTCAACCCTGATGCAAAACTCAAGGTAACAGCCATCTTGATGATCTCAGTGGTATTGATGCTGCTATTTATTATTTGTGTTTCATGCTATTTGTATCTATGTAGCAGGTATCCTGTGAGACTGATTTTAGTATTTGTGGACGCAGTTATATGTCTTCTCTTTGTACAGTGTTAACGTGCGCTTTTTTATTTCTTTCAGCGTCAAGTGTTTTCAGCACTGAGCCAGATTGCCAAACACTCTGTGGACCTGGCAGAGATGGTGGTAGAGGCTGAAATATTCCCAGCAGTCCTTACTTGTCTCAAAGACCAAGATGAATATGTTAAGAAGAATGTTGCTACACTCATCAGAGAGATCGCCAAACACACACCAGAGGTTAGTTTCATTTTGTGTGTAAATGGTTTCAGACAGTAGATGGTGACTTAAGGCTAATGAACACATATTATCTTTTGATGAATCTCTACTTCTTAGAAAAGACAACAATAAAGCACATATATTTGTGAATCTCACTGTATTGTTAACATACTGTCACAAAAGTAAAGTTGAATTGGTGGAAATGATACACAATCTTAAATTTTTAAATTACCTTACCTAATGGTAATGTGCATGCTATGAGGTAAGGTAAGTATTTAAATATCTAAAATATTTAGATTTTAATAATATTTAAAATGACAAATGTTGCAGTTGTCGCAGCTGATTGTCAATGCTGGAGGAGTGGCTGCTGTTGTAGACTATGTTGGGGAAGCCAAGGGCAATGTAAGACTGCCGGGAATCATGATGCTCGGCTATGTTGCAGCTCACTCAGAAAACCTGGCCATGGCAGTCATTGTATCAAAGGTACAGTTTGTTCTTTTACAGAAAGTAAAGACAGTTACAGGGTTTTTGCAGAAAGGGAATACAAAAGTTATCATTCAAACTGAAAGCGTTTGTCTTTCCTTGGTCATTTTAGAGGTCACAAGTGTCAAGCTTAGTCTGAGCGTTGTCTTGTGGAATCTTCAATCCTTTTATCTTTGTTCACCAAGGGAGTAGTACAGCTGGCCATCTCGCTGGCCGAGGAACCAGATGACCACATCCAGGCTGCAGGAGCGTGGGCACTTGGACAGATCGGACGACACACACCGGAACATGCTAAGGCTGTGGCTGTGGCTAATGTGCTGCCCAAACTGCTTCAGTGTTATCTCCGTGCTGATGCATCAGAAGACCTCCAGACAAAGGTAGAACTTGACGTCTCTATTCAAGTGTCTTTAAAGTTCGATAATCGAGTCCAGAAAATGTATATGTAGTCATTTAGAGGAGGAATATCAAGAAGTATGTTTTTGTCAAACACATGTGTATTGTATCATTCGCAATAGAATTGAAAAGGATGACTAATTCCTTTGAAGAAAAAAAGTTCATCATTAGATATAATTAACATTGCATGACATTGATATATTATGTGTTTATTCCATTTTCTGCACCTAGGTGTATATACTTATGACTTGCTTGATGTTTCCAGAGCAAGAAAGCATTGAAGAACATCTTACAGAAGTGTGTCCACCTGCCTGCCCTGGAACCTCTCCTCCATGATGCTCCTCCCAATATCCTCAAACATGTTGTTGGTCAGTTCAGCAAAGTCCTACCCCATGACTCTAAGGCTCGCAGATTGTTTGTCACTAGTGGTGGTTTGAAGAAGATCCAGGAAATCAAGACCGAACCTGGCTCAGCTCTAGCAGAATATGTCAACACAATCAACAATTGCTACCCAGAAGAAATTGTGAAGTGAGTACACATTGACACTTATACTTCTTGACCTTTGTGATGTGAATTACGAAGTCAGGAAAATATTAATGCTAAGCCTAAATAACACTGAAACCTTTGGGCTTGTTGGCTTTTAGGCACATATACCTTGCCGTATACTGCTATTGTAGCTACATTACAAGAATATGATGAACCATATCTCAGCAGCTTACAGGCAAATACCATTATGCTATGACACTGAATCTATGACGCAAAAACACTGTCTTCAGAAAATATATATTTCAACTTTTGTATTATATATTTATTTGTTTTATTTTCAGATACTACTCCCCTGGCTACTCTGATGCCCTCCTGGAGAGAGTGGATCAGTTTGCTCCCAAAGTGTAATAATACTTTCCTGACAACATAAAATGAGAATCTTACGGACACTTTTGTGCTGAACTCAAGTCATTTGGTATACATCTTCATGGATAACTTTCAAGTATAGTCTACAAGAAAAGTGAAAGCCATAAGATATTTTGAACTCTGATCAGTGCGTACAGTCACTGGGAGGAAGAGGGCCATTCCTGGACCACCAGCCCATCTCTTTCACTCTGTCTCACCTCTATAGGTGGATTATTATGGTAGAATTAATGGTGAAGTTTAAAGTTTTTGTACTGTTCTCTGTAATATCGATGCAGATATTTGCTTGTTTGTTATATATAAGCTTTAATAGTGGTTTGTATCTGTTAATATACGAGTAATTCTTCTTCAACTAAGCTTTCTACAACATGATTCAAAGTTCAAGTGTGATTTGTCCAGTTTGTTTTCATGGTATCATCCTAGATCTTTTGTGGTAATCACTGGGAAGCTGACAACAGTTGCTTGAAGGTTAAATGTTTGTGCTGTTATGGACAGTGTCAGTTATGTGAAGTATCACCACCTTTCACCATGTAAAGTCAGTATATGGCTTTGTACTGTGTGAAATATAGTATTTATTTCATCTGAATGTGTATTTGTTCTTGCTATAAAGGAGAATCCAGACTTTCAAATGTTTTATGCTCAAGAGAAAGTAAGGAACATGTGTGAAATTTACCAGGACAAGATAATTTTGTTATTAAATAATACTTAAGAAAGTGAGTTTGTTTTCCTATTTCATCTATTCCAAAGACAGTCTCTCATGAAGATATTGGGCGATTACACAAACCTATGGTTGATACATGACATAAGTGATCTCCCATGTCATCGGGAAACAGATACTCAGGCAAGTCACACAGCATGATTGTCTGATCCTAAAGGTTCTCCACAGGTTGGTGATCAGTTCTGCCTGGAAAAGGTTGGACAAAATTGTGCATTGTAAACATAGAGACTATTCTGTGGAGGGAAATGTATTGATGTCTTGTGAAGCCTGTTGATGTGTTAATGCTTGTGATGTTGAGTGGATGTGCTGTGATTGTGATGTTCAATGGTGTGAATGTTGAGTGGATGTGCTAGGGATGTTGAGTAGATGTGCAGTGAATGGGGCTGAGGTATAGTAGATGTGCTGTGATTGTGATGTAAATGGTGTGAATGTTGAGTGAATGTGCTGTGAATGTGGAGTGGGTGTGCTGTGATTGTGAGGTGAGGTGAGGTGAAATTGGGTTTAACGTCGTGCTTGAGAATATTTCGCTCATGTATGTGTATGTGCGGCTGCTTGTACTAGCCCAGACTGAAGCTGGTTTTATAGTGCTAGCCCACTGAGATACCATGCCGCAGTGAAGTGTGATTGTGATGTAAATGGTGTGAATGTTGAATGGATGTGCTGTGAATGTTGAGTGGGTGTGAAAATGAACACACCTTGAATAGATACAAGACTGCTGATGTCAGTGAGCTAAATGCCATCTTGAACAATAACACTGTATTAGAATTACAAACGTGTTTACACATTACAATTTCTTTTTTGAAAACCGAGATATAGTATTACTTTCTAATATTGCTTCTGACAGAATGGATTATTATGCACACACCGTCGCCTGCCAATGCCATCCTCAGTTTAAGTGTCTGTACCTATGGTAGGTGTCATACATCATTTTATGATCTGAAGCTGTAATACAGTGAATTAGAGTTGAGGGCTGATGCATAAAGGAATAGTCATGTATTCTCCCCTAAGTAGGACCTTTGTAAGCTTGTAAAATACGAAATACCACAAATATGAAAAAATGTAAGGTTTTATTTTTTTGCAGTTTAATTCTCTACACATTAAAGAATGAGAGGCTAAGAGCATATTTATATTTTAAACTCTGCATTTCTTGTTATAAACTTGTCATTTGTTAAATAGTCAAAATGGAATCTGTTCTCATGACAACAGAGGTCCATCTATATCATTCCTCAAATGCAATATTACAGTAGTGAACGGTATTTGATCACAACTGCCTGTTTCATTTGTGAAGTATGAGGTATGTCAGTATATATTTCTAATGAGACATTTATGTTCAAGATAGCATATCTGGTCTACTTGTTTTCAGTTGTCGAAAATGTCCCTCAGCATAGCCTTATTCAGGAATCAGTGTCACAGTTGAAATAGCATGGTGTGGGAGATACTACTTCGTGGACTTATGGTTAATTCGGTCAGGAAAACTTCCCCCTCTCTGAGAGCAGGGCAACTTTCAAACATTTATCAATCAGTGTCATTTGTCATTTAAAGTATATGGCATCATACCAACAGAACAGGACAATACTGATTGTGTTTTTGTCACCCTATGCAAGATAAATACCATTCACTAACACATATACCTGTGATTAACTATGATCCAAGTCTAGCAAGTGTATGTTACCTAAACCAAAGCACCCATGAAGATCTGGAACAGATCTTCAGCAACCCATGCATGTAAGAGGTGTCTAACGCATTGGGTGACCAGGCTCGCTGAATTGATGATGGATGTCATTCTATCCCAATTGCGAATCCAAATGTTGACACTAACTAGTTTTGATGGAAGAAAACAACCGTTTAAGGAAGTAAATACTATTAATACTGGCATTGATCTATGTTAAATTCTCTCATCACACCTGTTACCTTCTTCGCTGCAACAAGGCCTTGCTTTGTATCCACGGTCGCCTTTAGACCCACAAGCTGTCCTTTAACAACTGTTACCTGAGTGCTACACCATGAGCTGTTTACCTTCAGTTTGATGATGTGCTTGTATCAAATGGGTTTTAGTTGCAGATACTCTACTGATGAAGGGACTGACTTCATTGCATGAGGACAGATGTTGACATTCAGAAGGTATGCTGTGAACAGTCAGTTTTATGACATATTCCTTGCCTTGACTCACACTGTGTATAGACTGTATTTCACAGTTTACCTCCTTAAACATTTCAACCGCAACAAGCTCCTGTTTCCTATTGGCTCAGTTTGCAATCCTATCAAGTGATGAATTTGAAAAGGTTTCAATTCATTGTTATCCAATAAGTTCCTTCCAGGTATAGTGGAGAGAAGTAACCAAGCTATTGACAGTTTAGCTTGGTGAACACAGATATGGTCTGTTGCTCCAGTGGCTACCATTATTCAGGTGGGCAGCAACCCAGTAAAATTCGGGTTAGAACTGGTCCTCCTCAGACCATGCTTGTCGTAAGAGTGAGCGAGTGAGTTTAGTTTTACGCCACACTCAGCAATATTCCAACTATGTGGCGGTGGTCTGTAAATAATCGAGTCTGGACCAGACAATCCAGTGATCAACAGCATGAGCGTCGATCTGTGCTATTGGGAACCGATGACATGTGTCAACCAAGTCAGTGAGCCTGACCACCCGATCCCGATCCCTTTAGTCGCCTCTTACGACCAGCATGGGTTACTGTTAGTGCAGTGGTTCAAGGGCTCACCCATTTATGGTGTCCCCCTAATTGTTATTGCTTGATTATTGCTAGAACCAGTGTAAAGCAATATTAACCATATTTATATGGCAAGGGAAGAAAGCAAGTATCAGAGAGTGTATAACTGCACCACATTTGTGAAACAAACTGGCAAATCAAGAATCAGGATCAGTGTGACCATACTACCATACCCCCTTTCTACAGTGTCCAATCAGATGGTTCATGTCTTCACATACTGGACATAAGAAGCTTACTGACCAGGTGTATGCTTGTGGTCATTTCAGTGTATTACACAGTATCCATGCTGTGTTGTGCTTGTCAGATCGTACATAACCTGAGTTATACCACTAGGGTATGTTATGTCCATTGTTCTGGCAGGTTGATTTTCTGTGTATCAACCTGCTATCTGCACGTGCAGAAGTTGATATGTGGATAACAACCTCGGCGGTGCAGGAAACGCACGTGCAACAAGCAATGTACGAGTCCATTCGGCGCCCACGTGGTATAAGTAGGTTAGCATCCCCCCTCTGCGGGTGATATGGATTCAACGCTCTCGCCTGACGGCTCGAACGTTGAAATCCATATCACCCTTGAGGAGGGTGCTAACGTATACATATCACCTGTCCAACAAACCTATACAAAGATGCAACCCACACGTTTTCTCCATGCATTTTTTGAAGACCATAGACATACACTGCACATCACCATGACGACCCATGACCCGAGTCGAGTCGATATACCGTTAAACAAATTGTAATGAATGCTATTTAGAAAGTCGTTAAATGTACCATGTGTTATATTTGGGATTACATCAGAAGCCACAGTGTTTGAGTGGGGTAGGTCGCCGACTTAGTGTACTGGTGATTTGGCCCCACACTCTGAGAGTGCACGGTCGAATTCAGGATGGTATTTCCCCCCACCCCTTGAATTTGTACCCTACTGAGAAAGTTTAACGAATGCTATAAAATGACTCATATGTCATTGAATATACAGTTATTGGGGTGCTCGATATTTTGATAAGTTGGGGAGTCGGTCGATATGGAGCACAATGTGTGCATGCAGCACCTGTACAGGGGACAGACGGTACCTGTATACCAGTGGAGTACCTGTACAGGGGACAGACGGTACCTGTAAACCAGTGGAGCACCTGTACAGGGGACAGACGGTACCTGTAAACCAATGGAGTACCTGTACAGGGGACAGACGGTACCTGTAAACCAATGGAGTACCTGTACAGGGGACAGACGGTACCTGTAAACCAGTGGAGCACCTGTACAGGGGACAGACGGTACCTGTAAACCAATGGAGTACCTGTACAGGGGACAGACGGTACCTGTAAACCAGTGGAGCACCTGTACAGGGGACAGACGGTACCTGTAAACCAGTGGAGCACCTGTACAGGGGACAGACGGTACCTGTAAACCAATGGAGCACCTGTACAGGGGACAGACGGTACCTGTAAACCAATGCAGCACCTGTACAGGGGACAGACGGTACCTGTAAACCAGTGGAGCACCTGTACAGGGGACAGACGGTACCTGTAAACCAGTGGAGCACCTGTACAGGGGACAGACGGTACCTGTAAACCAGTGGAGCACCTGTACAGGGGACAGACGGTACCTGTAAACCAATGGACAGACGGTACCTGTAAACCAATGCACCCTGTACAGGGGACAGACGGTACCTGTATACCAGTGGAGCACCTGTACAGGGGACAGACGGTACCTGTAAACCAGTGGAGCACCTGTACAGGGGACAGACGGTACCTGTAAACCAATGGGGACAGACGGTACCTGTAAACCAATGGAGTACCTGTACAGGGGACAGACGGTACCTGTAAACCAATGGAGTACCTGTACAGGGGACAGACGGTACCTGTAAACCAATGGGGGACAGACGGTACCTGTAAACCAATGGAGTACCTGTACAGGGGACAGACGGTACCTGTAAACCAATGGAGTACCTGTACAGGGGACAGACGGTACCTGTAAACCAATGGAGTACCTGTACAGGGGACAGACGGTACCTGTATACCAATGGAGTACCTGTACAGGGGACAGACGGTACCTGTATACCAATGGAGTACCTGTACAGGGGACAGACGGTACCTGTATACCAATGGAGTACCTGTACAGGGGACAGACGGTACCTGTAAACCAATGGAGTGAGATAACAGTAGAACACACACGTGGTACACAGAATCCACTGATTGCAACTTCCCAGATTCACACCTTACATGTTAATGGTATTGGAACAGTCTGGCTGGGCTGACCATATTTGGGTGTTAAAGATCAAATCTACCCAGTGATGACTTCCGCCGTTTGCAGCAAGTCCATTGTGACTAGCGTTGTTTAGTCCAGTCAAGCGGCAGTGTTCCTTTATATCGATAACAACATCGATTGGTGTAACACATGGCGGCGGAAACTTGGGAATTGTAAGCGCTGTTGAAGCGGTGTCTATGACGTATGCCATGTAGGTAATTATTTCTGTGGAATAACATCATCTAGAACTGTCGTGCACACTGGTGAAGAGAAAGGTAGGTTCTGACTCAAACCTTGTCACATCGTAAAACACATCACACACCAAGCTAGGTCCCGTTTCACAAAAGATCGTAGCGCTACGACTGCCGTAAGTCTATGTTATACTATAAGAGTTACGAACACCTTAGCGCTATGACAACTTTGTTAAACGGGACCCAGGGGCTTTAATTACTTGCGACTTTCATAACTGCAGCAAGAATGACACATGTTGAACTCCGACCCTGCACAAAAGAAGGAGTCTGTTGGGGCAACAGCAGGGGGACACATATCCTACAGCCACTGGTTTGGACCATGTGTAGCCCTGGCTGGATCGAACTCTTCGTGACACACGTGGCGCAGGTCGGCCCGGAGACTGCTGGTTGTGTTGTATGTCTGTAGTTACACACTGGTGTGCACATCTCGACATATACTAGTAGGAGATGGACTTGTAGGACAGTATTGCCATGTGTGGTACCGTGGCGCATGCTGTTCAGTGTTAACACACACTTGAGATCGGAATTGACCGTCCTTATGTGAAACATGATTTTCCTGTTTCATGTGAAACATGTCTATCCTACGTATATCATATATGGCATACATCATATTGATATATTTATATATATTGTCTCCTTTCGGTAATAGGTTAACACAAATTGAATTCATTTGAAACATTTGAGTTATTTAATTACTTCTTTAGTTTCTTACTCTGATCGGACGAATTTTTTTTTTATAGTTTTGGTGTGTGGGGTGGTGGGGTGGTGTGGTGGTGGGTGGTGGGTGAGTTTTTTTTTTTCCACGTAAACCACGTGCTATCTTTAGGCCACGCCCCTTCAACACAATGCATAGCTCCCTGTGACCAGGACAGGATTCACCCGACGTTTCAGTAGAAAAGGCACGTGTGCTACATGTTGGAAAAGGGGGAAATATGAATTTGAAAGTGGATAATTATTTTCGCGACAGGGCTTTAAATTGGAAATGAGCGTCGTCACACAGTAAAGGTGTTGTGCCGGGTCTTTGTCGTGACAGGAACAGGTGGACCACCCCACCGGCCCCACGTCCCCGTCCCGTGAAATTATTTACTCCATCATATATACAAACTGTAATCAAAATGCACATGAAAATAGAATAACGTGTTTAACCGAACTACACATAGAATCTACTCACTTCCTTCCAAGATCTCCACAAACTATATATAAGCACTCAAACGTCCCAGTCATGGTAACTGGAAGAGCTTCACGACTGCACGAGTAAGTCATGCACAGTTCGACACGTGCTGCACAGTTATTTTTGTCGCCCAGGCCTTGCAAATCTGTGGAACCGGCCCAGAACAAGCGTGACGAACAGACCTAACTAAATAGGTCGTATGTACGTACAGTTTCAGTTTATTCAGTATTTTATCAGTATTTAAGTTACCTTGTCACATAAAAGTGTGTGTGATCAGGGGCGTAGGAACGGGGAGGGGGCTTAGCCCCACCCCCTTTCAAGACGATACCATATCTACCTTACCGTAATTACAATTTCATTTTGATTTTCAATATTTTTCATAAATTGTGTTCTGTCAGCAAAGATAATGTGTGTACCGGCATGGAGCGAGTCCACCGTTGAGAGAAGGTTTGCCGATTTGTATTTAGGGATCACCGATACTTTATCACCCTGATACCACGAGATGAATAGCTACATGGAATGTTGCCATTCTTTATTTCGAAACTAGAGTAATCCGTGATTATGCTATTTACTCTGGTATTCTCTAAATACTCTCACCCGTGAAGATCCGTGTTATAATTGATCTTCAGTAACCCATGCTTATCGTAAGAGGCGACTAACGGGAACGGGTGGTCAGGCTAGCTGACTTGGTTGACACATGTCATCGTATCCCAATTGCGTAGATTGATGTTCATGCTGTTGATCACTTGATTGTCTGGTCCAGACTCTATTTTTTACAGACCGCCGCCTAATAGCTGGAATATTGCCGAGTGCGGCGTAAAACTAAACTCACTCACTCACTCTAAATACTCTCTATTAGTTGATATCTATTGTGCTTCTTCCCAAGATGCATTGCCAAACATGCTTTATAACAGGAATCCAAAGTCTACTGAAACGGTCTGTATCAGTGTTTGAGATCATGATGAATGTGAAGCTTTCCCACGTGGATGCTTTTGCAGTTAATAGGCCGTTAACACATTTGTTTTAAACAGAGATTTTTAGTGTTATTTGAAACCCCTGATTTTGAAATCAGGTAATTACCAAATTTATGGTATATATTTGCTTAGAGAAGCATCAGAACTATTCGCGGCCTCAAAGCAATGGAATAAATGGATTTTGACTGAAGCTAGTCAGAATGAAGTATGCGTCACAATTCTCGGGTTACAGAAATTTTCCCCGATATCCTTTTCACCACAAACACTTGGATAGCTATATATGTTTTTAGTCTTCAGATGAAGCTTCAGACATTCCTGACAGTTCGCTATCACCAGGTGCGGTAACTTGCTAGCTGTTGACACTTGGATAGCTATATATGGTTTTTAGTCTTCAGATGAAGCTTCAGACATTCCTGACAGTTCGTTATCACCAGGTGCGGTAACTTGCTAGCTGTTGACACTTGGATAGCTATATATGTTTTTTAGTCTTCAGATGAAGCTTCAGACATTCCTGACAGTTCGTTATCACCAGGTGCGGTAACTTGCTAGCTGTGGACCATGAGGGAAGGGAGACAGGTACGGCCTACCAGGTGTTACTTTCGGTTCCTCTGCTTTGTGCTTGGGTTCTGGTTCCTGGTGTTTCTGCAGTATGTCATAGTGGACGAGTGGTACCCACACACAGGGACGGACAATCACAGACATTTCCGTGGCGCTGTCACGATGAATCCACACGGTCTGCCGTCTGACCGTCACGCAAGGCTGAAACATGGCCGTGACAATCATAGGTTGCATTGGAACAATGTCCATGTTGGTCATGTGCCAAAGGGAGGAAATTCGGACAGTGACCATCTTTTTAAAAGGTTTGGCAGGGAAGGTTTCCGTAATGACCACCTCCCAAAGGTGAACAAATCGGACAATGGCCGATATATAGATAAGTTTGTCGGAGAAGGTCTCCCCAAGGCAAACCGCGAAGTGAAGGTGCTCGAGAAAGATCGTAAGAGTGATGCTGTCAGAAATATTGTGGAGTATATCCAGAAAGAGATGGCAGCGCCAGATTCTCCTGACGGAGTCTCAAACAAAACGCTAGAACTGGTGCGAGAGGACGTCAAAGACAAGAGCAGGACGTTACGATCCCACACTGACTACAATGCACGGGAAGAAGCTGACGTCAGGAGGATATTGGATAAGATGGCACCGCGGGCTCACATGAAAGCCCCAGGTGAGTCTGTTCTTCTGTCTTTATTTAGAGTGTCTCACATGAAAGCCCCAGGTGAGTCTGTTCTTCTGTCTTTATTTAGAGTGTCTCACATGAAAGCCCCAGGCGAGACTGTTCTTCTGTTTTTGTTCCAGTCAAAGGATCTTTCAGAGTGTACTATATATACTGGACAAAATAAGTTAAGGATATTGGTATATTTATGATTGATATTTTATCAGTGTGTCAATGAATAAATAGATCATTACTCATAATTTTAAAATTTACATATATCCCTAACTATTTTTGTTCAGTATATTTTGTTGTGCATCGCATAAATTGAGTGTTTAGTTACTACGTTGTTTGGAAGATCATAACCAACTGTAATGCGCGAAGTGTAATGCCTGATCTGTTGAAGATGAATTTCATTTCTTTCTGTTATGTCCTTATCATAAGACATGTAGAGAACTGTTTGTACACCGTATCATAAATATCCATCCCATGATTTGTCTCATTAATGTCAATAACATATTCTGTTCATATGAAGAAGATATCATTGTTCCTCAAAAGAAATGTTTTATGTTAAGTGGTCTTGCATTGTATATCATTGTATCCTGCACACTGTATGATGATTGTCACTCGTCACTTGTCACTTAAAGTGTTCTGTGAAAAGCAAAGTGCCTGTTAGAGTACTATAATGGTGAAATAGTAACTTAATCGTCAACACAGAGTTGTAATGTAATTGGTATTATGTATTGTATTGTATAGGAGAGTTTGGCAAGGCGGTGCAAGTCGACATGGCGAGTCTGTCAAAAGAGGAGAAATTCAAAATGGAGTTGGGGTTTAACAGAACCGGCTTCAACTTGTACGTCAGCGATCTCATCTCCCTCCGTCGGCGCGTTCCAGACATGAGGTCGGCAGGGTGAGTGCTGGTATAAGGAGGGTCCCAGACATAAGATCGGCAGTCTGAGTGCTGATATAAGGAGGGTCCCAGACATGAGATCGGCAGGTTGAGTGCTGATATAAGGAAAGTGCCAGACATGAGATCGGCAGGGTGAGTGCTGATATAAGGCGGTTCCCAGACATGAGATCGGCAGGGTGAGTGCTGATATAAGGAAAGTGCCAGACATGAGATCGGCAGGGTGAGTGCTGATATAAGGAGGGTCCCAGACATGAGATCGGCAGGGTGAGTGCTGATATAAGGAGGGTCCCAGACATGAGATCGGCAGGATCGGCAGGGAGTGCTGATATAAGGAGAGTGCCAGACATGAGATCGGCAGGGTGAGTGCTGATATAAGGAGGTCCCAGACATGAGATCGGCAGGGTGAGTGCTGATATAAGGAGGGTCCCAGACATGAGATCGGCAGGGTGAGTGCTGATATAAGGAGGGTCCCAGACATGAGATCGGCAGGGTGAGTGCTGATATAAGGAGGGTCCCAGACATGAGATCGGCAGGGTGAGTGCTGATATAAGGAGGGTCCCAGACATGAGAACGGCAGGGTGAGTGCTGATATAAGGAGGGTCCCAGACATGAGATCGGCAGGGTGAGTGCTGATATAAGGAGGGTCCCAGACATGAGATCGGCAGGGTGAGTGCTGATATAAGGAGGGTCCCAGACATGAGATCGGCAGGGTGACATATAAGGAGAGACATGAGATCGGCAGGTCCCAGACATGAGATCGGGGGTGAGTGCTGATATAAGGAGGGTCCCAGACATGAGAACGGCAGGGTGAGTGCTGATATAAGAGGGTGCTGAGTGCTGATATATGAGAACAGGTTGGTGCTGATATAAGGAGGGTCTGATATGAGAACGGCAGAGGCAGGGTGAGGAGTGCTGATATAAGGACCCAGACAGATGAGATCGGCAGGTGAGTGCTGAGTAAGGAGGATGGTCCCAGACATGAGTGCTGATATGAGAGGGTCCCAGACATGAGATCGGCAGGGTGAGTGCTGATATAAGGAGGGTCCCAGACATGAGATCGGCAGGCAGGGTGAGTGCTGATATAAGGAGGGTCCCAGACATGAGATCCGGCAGGGGTGAGTGCTGATATAAGGAGGGTCCCAGACATGAGATCGGGTGAGAGGCTGATATAAGGAGGGTCAGGGTGAGTGCTGATATAAGGAGCTGATATAAGGAGGGTCCCAGACATGAGGTGATCTGATATAAGGAGGTCCCAGGAGATCAGGAGTGAGTGCTGATATAAGGAGGGTCCCAGACATGAGAAGGGTGAGTGCTGATATAGTGCGGCAGGGTGAGTGCTGATATAAGGAGGGTCCCAGACATGAGATCGGCAGGGTGAGTGCTGATATAAGGAGGAGTCCCAGACATGAGATCGGCAGGGTGAGTGCTGATATAAGGAGGGTCCCAGACAGACATGAGATCGGCAGGGTGAGTGCTGATATATAAGGAGGGTCCCAGACATGAGAACGGCAGGGTGAGTGCTGATATAAGGAGAGTCCCAGACATGAGATCGGCAGGGTGAGTGCTGATATAAGGAGGGTCCCAGACATGAGAGACATCGGCAGGGTGAGTGCTGATATAAGGAGGGTCCCAGACATGAGAACGGCAGGGCAGACATGAGATCGGCAGAGTGCTGATATAAGGAGACATGAGAACGTCCCAGACATGAGATCAGCAGGGTGAGTGCTGATATAAGGAGGGTCCCAGACATGAGATCGGCAGGGTGAGTGCTGATATAAGGAGGGTCCCAGACATGAGATCGGCAGGGTGAGTGCTGATATAAGGAGGGTCCCAGACATGAGATCGGCAGGGGGAGTGCTGATAGTGCTGATATAAGGAGGGTCCCAGACATGAGAGATGCGGCAGGGTGAGTGCTGATATAAGGAGGGTCCCAGACATGAGATCGGCAGGGTGAGTGCTGATATAAGGAGGGTCCCAGACATGAGATCGGCAGGGTGAGTGCTGATATAAGGAGGGTCCCAGACATGAGAACGGCAGGGTGAGTGCTGATATAAGGAGTTCTGAGTCCCAGAGGAGTCCCAGACATGAGATCGGCAGGGTGAGTGCTGATATAAGGAGGGTCCCAGACATGAGATCCAGAGTGCTGATGAGGAGTGCATGAGATCCCAAGACATGAGAGATCAGCAGGGTGAGTGCTGATATAAGGAGGGTCCCAGACATGAGATCGGCAGGGTGAGTGCTGATATAAGGAGGGTCCCAGACATGAGAGATCGGCAGGTGAGTGCTGATATAAGGAGGGTCCCAGACATGAGATCGGCAGGGTGAGTGCTGATATAAGGAGGGTCCCAGACATGAGATCGGCAGGGTGAGTGCTGATATAAGGAGGGTCCCAGACATGAGATCGGCAGGGTGAGTGCTGATATAAGGAGGGTCCCAGACATGAGATCGGCAGGGTGAGTGCTGATATAAGGAGGGTCCCAGACATGAGATCGGCAGGGTGAGTGCTGATATAAGGAGGGTCCCAGACATGAGATCGGCAGGGTGAGTGCTGATATAAGGAGGGTCCCAGACATGAGAAGGGGAGGTGAGTGGATATAAGGAGGGTCCCAGAGATCATATAAGGAGGGTCCCAGACATGAGATCGGCAGGGTGAGTGCTGATATAAGGAGATCGGCAGGTGCCAGACATGAGAGATCGGCAGGGTGAGTGCTGATATAAGGACATGAGAACGGCAGGGTGAGTGCTGATATAAGGATCAGCAGGGGGTGATATTGATGATATAAGGAGGGTCCCAGACATGAGATCGGCAGGGTGAGTGCTGATATAAGGAGGGTCCCAGACATGAGAACGGCAGGGTGAGTGCTGATATAAGGATATAAGGATGGTCCCAGACATCCCAGACATGAGATCGGCAGGGTGAGTGCTGATATAAGGAGGGTCCCAGACATGAGATCGGCAGGGTGAGTGCTGATATAAGGAGGGTCCCAGACATGAGAACGGCAGGGTGAGTGCTGATATAAGGAGGGTCCCAGACATGAGAACGGCAGGGTGAGTGCTGATATAAGGAGGGTCCCAGACATGAGAGGCAGGGAACAGAGTGCTGATATAAGGAGTGTCCAGACATGAGATGAGAGTGCTGATATTAAGGAGGGTGAGTGCATGAGATCGGCAGGTTGAGGAGGAGGGTCCCAGACATGAGATCGCTGCTGATATAAGGAGGGTCCCAGGAGATCCAGGGAGTGACATGAGATCCAGACATGAGATCAGCAGGGTGAGTGATAAGGAGGGTCCCAGACATGAGAACGGCAGGGTGCTGATATAAGGAGGGTCCCAGACATGAGAACGGAGGGTGAGTGCTGATATAAGGAAGACATGAGATCGGCAGGGTGAGTGCTGATATAAGGAGGGTCCCAGACATGAGATCGGCAGGGTGAGTGCTGATATAAAAGTCCCAGACTGATATAAGGAGGGTCCCAGACATGAGATCGGCAGGGTGAGTGCTGATATAAGGAGGGTCCCAGACATGAGAACGGCAGGGTGAGTGCTGATATAAGGAGAGTCCCAGACATGAGATCATGCAGGGTGAGTGCTGATATAAGGAGGGTCCCAGACATGAGATCGGCAGGGTGAGTGCTGATATAAGGAGGGTCCCAGACATGAGAACGGCAGGGTGAGTGCTGATATAAGGAGGAGTCCCAGACATGGGAGATCGGGAGGGTCCCAGACATGAGATCAGGGTGAGTGCTGATATAAGGAGGGTCCCAGACATGAGATCGGCAGGGTGAGTGCTGATATAAGGAGGGTCCCAGACATGAGAACATCGGCAGGGTGAGGGTGAGTGCTGATATAAGGAGGGTCCCAGACATGAGATCGGCAGGGTGAGTGCTGATATAAGGAGTGCTGATATATAGGAGGGTCCCAGACATGAGATCGGCAGGGTGAGTGCTGATATAAGGAGGGTCCCAGACATGAGATCAGCAGGGTGAGTGCTGATATAAGGAGGGTCCCAGACATGAGTGCTGATATAAGGAGGAGTCCCAGACATGAGAGTGCGGCAGGGTGAGTGCTGATATAAGGAGGGTCCCAGACATAAGAGACATGAGAACGGCAGGGTGAGTGCTGAGGAGGGTCCCAGACATGAGAACGGCAGGGTAGAGAGTGCTGATATAAGGAGGGTCCCAGACATGAGATCGGCAGGGTGAGTGCTGATATAAGGAGGGTCCCAGACATGAGATCGGCAGGATGAGTGCTGATATAAGGAGGGTCCCAGACATGAGAACGGCAGAGATACGGCAGGGTGAGTGCTGATATAAGGAGGGTCCCAGACATGAGAACGGCAGGGTGAGTGCTGATATAAGGAGGTCCCAGACATGAGATCGGCAGGGTGAGTGCTGGATATGATATAAGGAGGGTCCCAGACATGAGATCGGCAGGGTGAGTGCTGATATAAGGAGGGTCCCAGACATGAGAGATCGGCAGGGTGAGTGCTGATATAAGGAGGGTCCCAGACATGAGCTGATATAAAGGAGGGTCCCAGACAGGGCAGGGTGAGTGCTGATATAAGGATGGTCCCAGACATGAGATCAGAGTTGAGTGCTGATATAAGGGAGGGTCCCAGAGGTGAGTGCTGATATAAGGAGAGTGCCAGACATGAGATCGGCAGGGTGAGTGATATAAGGCGGGTCCCAGCATGATACAGGGTGAGTGCTGATAGGAGGGTCCCAGACATGAGATCGTCAGGGTGAGTGCTGATATAAGGATGGTCCCAGAGATGAGATCGGCAGGTTGAGAGCTGATATAAGAGGGTCCCATGAGAATGAGGTGAGTGCATATATCAGGAGAGTGGACATGAGATCGGCAGGGTGAGTGCTGATATAAGGAGGGTCCCAGACATAAGATCGGCAGGGTGAGTGCTGATATAAGGAGGGTCCCAGACATGAGAACGGCAGGGTGAGTGCTGATATAAGGAGAGTGCCAGACATGAGATCGGCAGGGTGAGTGCTGATATAAGGAAGGTCCCAGACATGAGAACGGCAGGGTGAGTGCTGATATAAGGAGGGTCCCAGACATGAGAACGGCAGGGTGAGTGCTGGTATAAGGAGGGTCCCTGTTATCTCTGATTGTTAAAGATAAAGTGATGAATTATGAGTGTAAGATATCATAGTAATAGAATTATACTTTATATTATCAGCGATTTATATCCAATGTCTTCCCCCCCTAGGTGCCGGGGGATGGTGTACCCAGACGACCTGCCTGCCACCAGCATTATCATCTGTTTCCACAACGAGGCTTGGTCCACTCTTATCAGGACAGTGTTCAGCGTCCTCGACAACACACCACAACATCTCCTACACGAAGTCATCCTCGTAGACGATGCCTCTGACGAACGTGAGATCTTCATTTATGCGCATACTTCACGAAAACCATTTGTCAACCATGACAATTTTCAGCATCTTTTCACTAAGTTGCGAGGACGCTGTTCCCGACAGGACATGGAGCTCACTTAGAACATCCCTGCCCTGTTTAATACATTCCCGTTTTACCAGTGACGATCCGGGATTGAATTGGTCTTTAGCAATATATGCTAGTCGAAAGTGGAGACGAACGGGATGATGTGGCCAGGCTTGCTGACTTGGTTGACACATGACATCGTGTACCAATTGTGTAGATCGATGCTCATGCTCGATTATTTACACACCCCAGCCATATACATGTAGTTGGAATATTGCTGAGTGCGACGTTAAACATAAAACAACCAACCAACATGTCTTGTTTTAACTGAATCTGTTTCCTCGACCTTTGTGTTGAAATAACATCCAGTTTGTTTTCCTCCCCAGCGTCACTGGGTACCTCTCTGGAGGAGTACCTCCGCCCACTGCCCAAGGTGAAGCTGGTGAGGGCTTCCTCCAGAGTAGGCTTGATAGGAGCCCGACTACTGGGCGTGGCCACAGCTACTGCCGACGTCCTCACCTTCCTTGACTCTCACGTGGAGTGTATGAAAGGTAAGGACATGTAGAGTTTAGGTCCGGTTGGGATGAATTTAGGGCGTAAGAAAGGCATGGCTATATAGAAAGTGTAGGTAGGGTTTAGTTACATGAAGGAAGACATAGGACTTTTTGAATTTCCTCACCTTCTGTTGGCAAGTGTGTTTCTTTTTGGCAGAAACCTGTAGGTATACTTTAGCACCCTCCTCAAGGGTGACATGGATTTCATTGAATCCATATCACCCGCAGAGGAGGGGTGCTAACCTACTTATACCACGAGGGCGCCGCATGGACTCGTACATTGCTTGTTGCTCGTGCGTTTCCTGCACCGACCAGGTCGTTATCCACATATCAACCTCTGCACGTGCAGACAGAAGGTTGATACACAGAAAATCAACCTGCCGGAACACTGGACATAACACACCCTAGTGGTATAATTCTTCTTATGACCGCCTTCTCCAAATGGCTGAAACTTATGTAGTTCTTCTTATGACCGCTTTCTCCAAATGGCTGAAACTTATGTAGTTCTTCTTATGACCACCTTCACCAAATAGCTGAAACTTATGTAGTTCTTCTTATGACCGCCTTCTTCAAATAGCTGAAACTTATGTAGTTCTTCATATGACAGCCTTCTCCAAATCGCAGAAACTTATGTAGTTCTTCTTATGACCGCCTTCTCCAAATGGCAGAAACTTATGCAGTTCTTCTTATGACCGCTTTCTTCAAATGGCAGAAACTTATTTAGTTCTTCTTATGACCGCCTTCTTCAAATGGCAGAAACTTATGTAGTTCTTATGTAGTTCTTCTTAAGACTGCCTTCTTCAAATGGCAGAAACGTATGTAGTTCTTTTTATGACCGCCTTCTTCAAATGGCAGAAACTTATGTAGTTCTTCTTATGACCGCCTTCTTCAAATGGCAGAAACTTATGTAGTTCTTCTTATGACCGCCTTCTTCAAATGGCAGAAACTTATGTAGTTCTTTTTATGACCCCCTTCTCCAAATGCCAGAAACTTATGTAGTTCTTCTTATGACCGCCTTCTTCAAATGGCTGAAACTTATGTAGTTCTTCTTATGACCGCCTTCTTCAAATAGCTGAAACTTATGTAGTTCTTCATATGACCGCCTTCTCCAAATGGCAGAAACTTATGTAGTTCCTTTTATGACCGTCTTCTCCAAATGGCTGAAACTTAAGTAGTTCTTCTTATGACCGCCTTCTCCAAATGGCAGAAACTTATGTAGTTCTTCTGATGACCGCCTTCTCCAAATGGCAGAAACTTATGTAGTTCTCCTTATGACTGCCTTCTTCAAATGGCAGAAAATTATGTAGTTCTTTTTATGACCGCCTTCTTCAAATGGCAGAAACTTATGTAGTTCTTCTTATGACCGCCTTCTTCAAATGGCTGAAACTTATGTAGTTCTTTTTATCACCGCCTTCTCCAAATGCCAGAAACTTATTTAGTTCTTCTTATGACCGCCTTCTTCAAATGGCTGAAACTTATGTAGTTCTTCTTATGACCACCTTCTCCAAATGGCAGAAACTTATGTAGTTCTTTTTATGACCGCCTTTCCAAATGGCTGAAGCTTATGTAGTTCTTCTTATGACCACCTTCTCCAAATGGCTGAAACTTATGTAGTTCTTTTTATGACCGCCTTCGTCAAATGGCTGAAACTTATGTAGTTCTTTTTATGACCCCCTTCTCCAAATGGCAGAAACTTATTTAGTTCTTCTTATGACCGCCTTCTTCAAATGGCAGAAACTTATGTAGTTCTTCTTATGACCGCCTTCTCCAAATGGCAGAAACTTATGTACTTCTTCTTATGACCGCCTTCTCCAAATGGCAGAAACTTATTTAGTTCTTCTTATGACCGCCTTCTCCAAATGGCAGAAACTTAATAGTTCTTTTTATCACCGCCTTCTCCAAATGGCAGAAACTTATGTAGTTCTTCTTATGACCGCCTTCTTCAAATGGCAGAAACTTATGTAGTTCTTTTTATGACCGCCTTCTCCAAATGGCAGAAACTTACGTAGTTCTTCTTATGACCGCCTTCTTCAAATGGCAGAAACTTATGTAGTTCTTCTTATGACTGCCTTCTTCAAATGGCAGAAACGTATGTAGTTCTTTTTATGACCGCCTTCTTCAAATGGCAGAAACTTATGTTGTTCTTCTTATGACCGCCTTCTTCGAATGGCTGAAACTTATGTAGTTCTTTTTATCACCGCCTTCTCCAAATGGCAGAAACTTATTTAGTTCTTCTTATGACCGCCTTCTTCAAATGGCTGAAACTTATGTAGTTCTTCTTATGACCACCTTCTCCAAATGGCAGAAACTTATGTAGTTCTTTTTATGACCGCCTTCTCCAAATGGCTGAAACTTATGTAGTTCTTCTTATGACCACCTTCTCCAAATGGCTGAAACTTATGTAGTTCTTTTTATGACCGCCTTCGTCAAATGGCAGAAACTTATGTAGTTCTTCTTATGACCGCCTTCTTCAAATGGCAGAAACTTATGTAGTTCTTTTTATGACCCCCTTCTCCAAATGGCAGAAACTTATCTAGTTCTTCTTATGACCGCCTTCTTCAAATGGCTGAAACTTATGTAGTTCTTCTTATGACCGCCTTCTTCAAATAGCTGAAACTTATATAGTTCTTCATATGACCGCCTTCTCCAAATGGCTGAAACTTATTTAGTTCTTCTTATGACCGCCTTCTTCAAATGGCAGAAACTTACGTAGTTCTTCTTATGACCGCCTTCTTCAAATGGCAGAAACTTATGTAGTTCTTCTTATGACCGCCTTCTCCAAATGGCAGAAACTTATGTACTTCTTCTTATGACCGCCTTCTCCAAATGGCAGAAACTTATTTAGTTCTTTTTATGACCGCCTTCTCCAAATGGCTGAAACTTAAGTAGTTCTTCTTATGACCGCCTTCTCCAAATGGCAGAAACTTATGTAGTTCTTCTGATGACCGCCTTCTCCAAATGGCAGAAACTTATGTAGTTCTCCTTATGACTGCCTTCTTCAAATGGCAGAAAATTATGTAGTTCTTTTTATGACCGCCTTCTTCAAATGGCAGAAACTTATGTAGTTCTTCTTATGACCGCCTTCTTCAAATGGCTGAAACTTATGTAGTTCTTTTTATCACCGCCTTCTCCAAATGCCAGAAACCTATGTAGTTCTTTTTATGACCGCCTTCTTCAAATGGCAGAAACTTATGTTGTTCTTCTTATGACCGCCTTCTTCGAATGGCTGAAACGTATGTAGTTCTTTTTATCACCGCCTTCTCCAAATGGCAGAAACTTATTTAGTTCTTCTTATGACCGCCTTCTTCAAATGGCTGAAACTTATGTAGTTCTTCTTATGACCACCTTCTCCAAATGGCAGAAACTTATGTAGTTCTTTTTATGACCGCCTTCTCCAAATGGCTGAAACTTATGTAGTTCTTCTTATGACCGCCTTCTCCAAATGGCTGAAACTTATGTAGTTCTTTTTATGACCGCCTTCGTCAAATGGCAGAAACTTATGTAGTTCTTCTTATGACTGCCTTCTTAAAATGGCAGAAACTTATGTAGTTCTTTTATGACCCCTTCTCCAAATGGCAGAAACTTATGTAGTTCTTCTTATGACCGCCTTCTTCAAATGGCTGAAACTTATGTAGTTCTTCTTATGACCGCCTTCTTCAAATAGTTGAAACTTATATAGTTCTTCATATGACCGCCTTCTCCAAATGGCAGAAACTTATGTAGTTCTTTTTATGACCGCCTTCCTCAAATGGCAGAAACTTATGTAGTTCTTCTTATGACCGCCTTCTTCAAATGGCAGAAACTTATGTAGTTCTTTTTATGACCGCCTTCTCCAAATGGCAGAAACTTATTTAGTTCTTCTTATGACTGCCTTCTTCAAATGTCAGAAACTTATGTAGTTCTTCTTATGACCGCCTTCTCCAAATGGCAGAAACTTATGTAGTTCTTCTTATGACCGCCTTCTTCAAATGGCAGAAACTTATTTAGTTCTTCTTATGACCGCCTTCCCCAAATGGCAGAAACTTAATAGTTCTTTTGATCACCGCCTTCTCCAAATGGCAGAAACTTATGTAGTTCTTCTTATGACCGCCTTCTTCAAATGGCAGAAACTTATGTAGTTCTTTTTTTGACTGCCTTCTCCAAATGGCAGAAACTTACGTATTTCTTCTTATGACCGCCTTCTTCAAATGGCAGAAACTTATGTAGTTCTTTTTATGATCCCCTTCTCCAAATGGCAGAACTTTATGTAGTTCTTCTTATGACCGCCTTCACCAAATGGCAGAAACTTATGTAGTTCTTCTTATGACCGCCTTCACCAAATGGCAGAAACTTATGTAGTTCTTCTTATGACCGCCTTCTCCAAATGGCAAAAACTTATGTAGTTCTTCTTATGACCGCCTTCTCCAAATGGCAGAAACTTATGTAGTTCTTCTTGTGACCGCCTTCTTCAAATGGCAGAAACTTATGTAGTTCTTCTTATGACCGCTTTCTCCAAATGGCAGAAACTTATGTAGTTCTTGTTATGACCACCTTCTCCAAATGGCAGAAACTTATTTAGTTCTTCTTATGACCGCCTTCTCCGAATGGCAGAAACTTATGTAGTTCTCCTTATGACCGCCTTCTCCAAATGGCAGAAACTTATGCAGTTCTTCTTATGACCGCCTTCTCCAAATGGCTGAAACTTATGTAGTTCTTCTTATGACTGCCTTCTTCAAATGGCAGAAATTTATGTAGTTCTTCTTATGACCGCTTTCTCCAAATGGCAGAAACTTATGTAGTTCTTCTTATGACCGCTTTCTCCAAATGGCAGAAACTTATGTAGTTCTTTTTATGACCGCCTTCTCCAAATGGCAGAAACTTATGTAGTTCTTCTTATGACCGCCTTCTCCAAATGGCTGAAACTTATGTAGTTCTTCTTATGACCGCCTTCTCCAAATGGCTGAAACTTATGTAGTTCTTTTGATGACCGCCTTCTCCAAATGGCAGAAACTTATGTA